TATGAAGCAAAATATAAAGCAAAGTATGAAGCGAAGTATGAAGCGAGATATAAATGAAGTATGAGGGTAATTTATTGAATTAATCAATGATATTATTAATGGTCGTTTGGATTGATTTCCGGACAATCACATGATCATATGGAGCACAACCACATTTTAACTTACTAGTTAAAAAATAAACTTATGATTATTATGTAAAAATTGCAATTAATTGCAATTATTTCACAATTAATTGTTTTGCAATTGTTTATCTATAACAATTTAATTGAATATAATTGTGTAATAATTTAATTGCAATTCAATTTTCGGTACCTCTGCTTACCATTACCGTTAACTCATCTAATCTAAAAATAGCGATAGGTATCTGGTCTATGACTCTACCATTAAATCCTCAGCTATGCTTTGGACAATTGTTAGAAAGACTAGGCTTGTGATCCACAGCTTGAAGTTTATGCTGGGTTCAATCTCTATCCAGGATTAGTATACCAAAAGTTAAAAAAAAGCACCATGTTGTTATAAATGCAGTTACATTAGCGTTAGTAATGCAAATGCAAAAAAGATAATAGCATTTTACTTGTGTCTGTTACTTGGGTTCAGCGAAAGGTAAAAAGTATAAAACCCGGGTTTATAGCTTACATAGCATCACCCCAAAAAAATGGTAGCAAGATTTTTTGTTTTCTTACATCGATTTCGAAAACTGATTGCCGGTAAAATTGTATCTATCATGCTTAAATGTAATAATTCGTTTTGATTTTCGCTTTGACTTTCGTCTTGACTTTGATTTTGACTTTCACTTAGACTTTCACTTTGATTTTCACTTTACTTTCACTTTGATTTTCACTTTGACTTTCATTTTGACTTTAACTTTGACTTTTACTTTGACTTTCGTCTTGACTTTTGTTTTGACTTTCATTTTGACTTTTGTTTTGACTTTCGTTTTGACTTCCGTTTTGATTTTTATTATGACTTTCAATTTGACTTTCGTTTTACTTTCGCTTGATTTCGAGAATATTTATTGTATTGAATTCACAAAATAAAATGTGCCATATTTTTACAAACAAAACAACTCATTTAAACAATAAAATATAATAACTCGAACCAAATATGATAATTAGTTATATCGCTAAAATTGTATATAGTTATTTAGTGCCTCTTATTATTTGTGTTAATTTGGATAGTAAGTGTAAAAGACTTTTTAATTAATTAAATAAGTGATTCAAGTTGGTGAGCATTTACTTATTTGATTTGCATTAATCTAGCTAATTGAGTGAGAATATACTTGTTCATATTAATTTATTGTGAGTATAAAGTTCTTTATAAATAACTATCATTATATAGTGATGCTCATACCATTTTGTTTAGTTCCTGTTGTTAAGTAGAAAGATTAAAACTAAGCCGTTTGTACAATATCGAAAAATTATTGTCACGGCTGAAGCTTGAAATTTTAAATACTTTAATATGAAATTTTCAAAAAATTTTGGGGTGCATTTTTTAGCGTTTTTTTTATAGTTAGCTTAGAATTTAGGGTTAGTTTTAATAATTAAAATGTATAAGTGGATTTTGGTAGGGTTTATATTTTTAAATCGAGGTCCCTAATTTCAAGCTTCAGCCGTTTCAAGCTTCAACAGCGACAATTATTATAAACGAACTTAAAACGCGAGCATTTTGACCGGGAATTAGTGAATTAAAAATTCAGAAATTCAGAATTGGATAATATATTTAAGCTAAATATTGTTTTAAGGAAACAGCTAGTCAGTTCTCAGAATTGATTCTGGAGAATATACGTATATGACTTTGTTTTATTAGCGTTAATTTAGTTGAGTATAAACAAGCTCTTTAAGTTCGCGATTCTGCTTCTTATTTATTCTTGCTAATTTAGCGAGTAAATACAAACTTTAGTATTTAAAATAAATTATAGTTACATAATGCTACTCATATTTTTAATTCGCATTAACTTAATTATGTATAAAGATCTTTCAATAAATGCATTAAAATTCGTGAATTCATAGATTTGTTATCTATGTTAATTTAACTTGTAATTGGTGTATCAAAAAAAATAAGCTACTTTATAGTGCGTAAAGATTCTATGAATTTAAGATAAACTGCTTAAATCGCCTTATTTTAATTATTATTTTTATTTATTTACTTGCTATAACTAAAAAAAAATGCAAGTTATTTTCATTGAATAAAAAAATTCATAATTTATCCGGCAATTAGTATTCGAAATCACATGTAAGCCGGCAAAATAATCCGGATATCATTTTTTCTGGGCGACGTTAGGGTTGTTCTGGTTTATTATGTGGTCAAGTATTATATATCCATCATAGGATTGCTTGATCTTGATTACACAACAGACCCTTCTTCATACAGCAGACCTCACGGGTCTGAATCAATTTTTATACAGTTTAAAGTAACAGACCCGGAGTGGTTTATGCAGCAATTTATGGTAGATAGATATTTATATAGATATTCATTGAATATTCATTGAATATTCACACAGATATTCATCAAATATTCACACAGAATACTCATGGATATTTACATGAATATTCATATGGATATTCACATATAAATATTCACATAGATTACTCATACAGAATATTCACACAAATATTTATATGAAAATTTTATATAGATTATTTATATAGAATATTCACACAGATATTTATGTAAATATTCATATAGATTATTTGTACAGAATATTTTTAAAAAATTCTAGATTATTCACGGGTTTTGTGTAACAGAATATTTATATCCTAATTGAATATTCATTTTATTCAGGGATCACAGCTCTATTCGTGAACATAAAACAGTATTTGAGAACACTTATAGCTATTATACTGTTCTCATGAGAACAGTATTTGTGCCTTAAATTTCGAACACTGGTTGTGACTGGTGATTTCTCGGTAAAGGGTATACGTATTTTCTATCTATCGCAATAGTGACCACGAATTCTAAAGATACGTTTTAACCCAAAAATTTTTGTAATAATAAATAGAATAAATTTATTTGGTGAGGGGTGCACACGGTGCCATCTATAGTAAAATTAATATAAATTAGAATTAAATTAGAGTTTAGGTTAGGGTTGGGTTAGGGTAAAAACTTTACGGAAAATATTTTTATTGGTTACGCAACAGGGTTACCCTAGTAAAACTTTGAGATATCAAAGGGGGTGCAGGGTGCACCAAAAAATAATGCCCTAATAAATATATAATTTTTTTCTCGGAAATTTAGCTTTGTATGACCCAAATTAGGTATTTAAATTATATACACTATTATAACAAATATTAACCTATTTTCAGAATAAAAAAAAGACCCAAAACGTCCTCTATAGTTCTTTTAAAAAAAAAACAAAATATAATATTTTTTATCAGGCTTCAGCATCTGCCTCACCAATAATTCTTAAAAAGACTTCTTCCAAAGTAGTTTGACTTAATCCCCAATCATCTATTCCATATTCATTTTTATGAGCTTCAATTTCTCTAAATAATTTAGCAATTAACCCATTTTCAATATCAAATTCATATGACACATTTGTAACAAATGAATCTAATTTTTTGGCATTTGCAGGTAATAATGATTCAATAAACCTTTTGTGAAAAAAAAAATTATTAGAATATATAATATTCGGATAAATAAACAGAAATTTTGATAATATATATATATATATATTTTTTAAACTCACTCTGTAGCAACATCAAAATTTTTAGCTTTACATGAAAAACTCAACTTGAAACCTCTTCCGTAAATCTCTTTCAATCTCAATTGTGGTCCTAAGCATCTTAAAGTTCCTTTTGCCATAATTCCAATCCTATTACATAAAACTTCAGCCTCTTCCATACTGTGTGTGGTTAATACTATAGTTCTACCTTTTTTTGCATCATTAATAATGTTCCAAATCAATCTTCTAACTTCTGGATCTAATCCTGTGGTTGGTTCATCAAGAAATACTACAGCAGGGTTACCAATTAAAGAAATAGCAATTGAGAGACGACGCTTTTCACCCCCAGAAAGACCCTTGGAAAGTCGATTCTTGAATGCTTCAAGTCGAACTTGTTGAAGAGCTTTTAATATGGCAGCTTGTTCCTGATCAGTAGGAATACCTTTTAGACGAGCATAGAATAATAAATGTTCACCTGGAAAAATAATAAAACATAATTAAATTAAACACACAAAAATTCATAAAACACGTAAATAAAAATTTCATATGCTTTTATTTACCAACTGTTAAATCATCCCATAAAATATCATGTTGAGGGCATACACCTATAGACATATAAACTTCTCGCATATTAGTGTGAATATCATAGTTATTTATTGTTGCGGAACCAGAAGTCGGCGGATATAATCCAGTTAAAATACTAATTAACGTTGTTTTTCCTAAATGTTACGATAATAAAATCAACATTTATAAATTGTATTGATAACTGACTTAAAATGAATGAATATTTGTTTACCTGCGCCATTAGGTCCCAAAAGTCCAAAGATAATATTCGTATCAACAGCAAAAGTAACTTCTTTAACTGCTAATTTTCCATTAGGATAAACTTTTCTCATACGTTTCATAACCAATGGAGAATCGGGATCATAATTATTTCCAAGAACTTTCTTTCTTTCCTCCTTAACGTCATCATCTTCATGTAATATTTCACTTGGATCAATTTCTATATTTCCTTGTTCAAGTTCAACAATATCCTTATTTTTCTTTATATCTTTTTTACCACGATTTCTTATCATATAATATGGTTCGGTAAATATGAAATACCAAGGTTTAGAAATACCATACTCGCTAGGTAAAACGTTAGTCAAATAAATTGTTATCATAAATATAACGAAATATTCAACCACCATAAATATTATTCCATTAAAAACTTCATTTCCTACAACCAAATTGCTTACTTTATATGGTGGAGTAATTAAACTAATACTAGAAATATTAATCACCGCCAGACATCTATAAAACGCAAATGGAGGCCATAAAAAATATGTCAAAGGAGCAGAATCTTGACCATTAAATAAAGAAGCCGTAGCAAAACTAACAATAATTCCACATAAAACAATTAAAAAAGTAACAACCATAGCAATTCTTGATTTTGAAAAAAAACAAGAAAATAAAAATGCTAAAGCAATTTCAACATGACCCCAAACAAAAAATAATATAACATAAACACCTGGATCAGTTTTTGTAAATATTTCCATTTTGAAAATTAATCCAGTGATCACAAATACTAATGTTGTAATAATATGTATTAAATAGAAATGTATATAATGAGAAAGATGATAAGTAAAACCTTTTAATCCATTCATTTTCATCATAATTAATATTCTATCCTCTTTTTCTTTTACTAAAGTAATTACGAAAATTGGTAAAAGGAATGATACACCAAATGGATATAAAATTCCACCGATTAAAGTTCCAATTGGGACCTTGATTTCAGTAGAAAATAATTGTGGCATTACTCGATACATTGGAGTAATACCAATAGTAGAAGGACCACCACCACCATTAGTTCCATTAACAGTTCTTATTATACCATTACTTAAATCACTTTGTTGAGCTATTCTTCTTAAACCTTGAGGTGGAAAAGAAGCAGCAGCAGAGATTCGAACATCCGTACCAGTTTGTAAAGTGTAATTCCATTGTTTAGAAAAATTATTTGCTGAATCAAATAATATATTTCCCCAAGGCATTTTTGTTATTATTCCAGCAATTTTGATATTATAATATAATTGTTTGGTACTTGTCAGATTATTCCTGTCATTTGGTGAAAGTTTATTTACTTTAGCTAATTCGTTGATCACATTATGAATACTATCGCTTAATATATCATCATATGCTTTATCTAGTTGATCAATATCAGGATAGGCGTTATTGTCAAGTGGTTTTTGAAAAAATGGAACTGGTAAAAAGTTCTGAGCTTGAGCAGATGAATCACTTGTGGTGGTAATATTAGCATAATAATTTGTATTAATGTTGCCTAAAATACCAAAATCACCGGGATAAGTTGAGTTTGAATTGCTAAAATCATTAATAGAAGAGACAGGATCACGAGGTGGTTTTAGACCAACATTTACACCTGGAGCTTCACGAAAGTTAAACCATGGATAAGTTTGTATTTGACTTAAGTAAGATAATAAAGGGAGATAACTGAGAGATAAACTGTTTAACCAAGGATAACCAGGATCTGGTTTGAAAGTTCTATTATAATAAACAAGAATAAAATAATAAGCATAAATCAATAATAATAAAGAATATATAAATATATATATATATATA